AATCAATGTTGCTCCATCTCCTTCAAGCTTCTCTCTCTGAAAATCTTCATCTCTCGCTCTTTCCTCCTTTTCTCTCTGAATATGCTAGCCTTTCCCCTTCCTTTGTGTTTCCAAGAGTTTCCTTTTTATAGTGATGAAACCATATCTTTTAATTTTCCATAATATCTTCAATGGAATCTTCACTAGAATCTCTAATCATATCTTTAATCAAATCCTTCAAATCTTTCCTTTTATATTTAAAGGAAAACTTCCCTTAAAAATATTCAAGAGAAGATTCAATAAGATCTTCAATGAATTATATGATTCAGAAATCTAAAGCAAATCCACTTGAGCTCTCCAATTTATTTCTTTATTGAGCTGAAAATTACTGCAAAATATAAGAATTTTTATGAGAATAAAATAACAATTTAATTATAATTCTCATAACTTTTATTTACTTTTAAATCAATTCTATGCTCATATTAACTTTTAATATATAATAAATTGGAGACTCATCAAGAAGAAAGAAAAGAACTTGAGAGAGGCTGGCAAGTTGGCAAGCTGGCGCCAGTAGCGCCAGCATGGCGCCTCAAGCACCAACACCATATATAGCCATTGTCTTGCCACGCTCTGGTGTTAAGAGCACCAAGCCCCTGATGGATTCAAGTTCTCTGCACTAGCAGCACCATCGTCGTGCCAGTAACGCTAAGTCTTCAAAAGATATGTGTTTGCCCAATGCTAGTAGCCCCAAGGTGGCGCTACTAGTGCCAGCATGCACGTGGATTTCAAGTTTTGCAATTTTGAATTTGAATCACGATGATACGGTTGAAGGTCTTACTGGATTTTAAATATATTCTTCTTCAATATAAAAAGAGGTTTTTGCAAAGCAAAAAGAGGACTTAACATAATTGGAAAAGGACGAGACCAGGGAATTCAAAGTTTGGAGTTCGCGGAAGAGGGTGGAAGGAATGTCGAAACATCATCATGGAGATCAACCAACACTCAATCTATGACTTCTTCTAGTTTCTTTTCTTTTATTGTTTTGTTTAAGCCAATTGTGTTTGACTAATTTTCTTTGTAGTTAGGGATATGGATCCAACATGAATTCTTATTTGGTTTAATTTTCTTTTCAATAAATTGTCACAAATTGTTATGTCTCAAATTTCATCAAGTAGAAACTATTCTTTCCAATCCAACTTTGATTTCCAACTTAAGTAAAAATAGTGAACTAGTGCTTGAAACACTAATCCTCGTGGGAACGATACTCTACTCATCATTTTATTACTTGTGCAACCGATATACTTGTCGTAAGCGCAAGAATAGTCCTCTCCTCCTAAGGGTGACCTTTGTCTTAGGGGTCACTCCAACTAACGTGTAGCACTTTCCTTTCTCAACTCGAGTCTTATAGTGTCATCTCATCGAGGGCAGCTTCATTTCGCTCATAGCCCTCTCCTCTATGAATTGGCCTCTCTCCTAGGGTGGCTCCGTCTAACGGATAACCCCATCCTCCCGGAATAAATATCTATATATAAAACTAGGTTCACGTAGACTGCTACCCCCCATTGATGGTTACAGGCTATGTAGCACCGATACTGACACGGGACACAGAATACGATACGACACGACACTCCGACACATTAATTCTAAAAAAATTTAGATTTCGACACGTTAGGTCACGTTTTGATATTGATTAATATTTTTAATTTATGTTGCGTATATTATATTGAATATTCAATGATTTAACAAAAAAATAAAGTTAAACTTATAATACCCATTAATTTTGCAAAGAAACATAAGATATCACAAATATTTATATTTAATTCAATAAAATGATAATAGTAATCCAACGAATTTAATGGTTAGAACTAAAGGCCCATTTGGATGGGCTTTTTTTTTCTCCAAAAGCTGTTTTTTTTTCTTAAAAAAAAGCACTTCTCGTTTTTAGTTTGTTTGGATGTTTTCTTTTAAAGCAGAAATCACAAAAAAAGCCAAAAACTTACTTTTTTCAGAAGCTAAAAATTTTAGCTTCTAGAAAAAGCAGAAGTCAAAAGCCAAATATTTTTTTCAAAAATTAAATATTTTTATAAAAATATAAATATTAACTTTTATAAAAAGCACTTCTAAAATAAAGAAGAGATAAAAATTACTTTTTTGAGAAGGCCAAACAAACGGACTCTAAAAACGTAACGCAACGCAATCTTTGAACCTTTTTTTGAGTTTCTACAATGCGCGTTGAAGTGTCAGAGAGTGTCGGGAAGTGTCAGACACGACACGTCAGGATTTTTGAAGTGTCGGTGCTTCATAAATTACAGGATTCTAATAAGGATCCCAAAAACATATATAAAATATTTTAACAAAGTAACCTTTGATTCAAATCAATTCATTTCAAATGATGAGTAAAATTCCTGAATCTCATTATTTTAAATCTAATATTTCATGTTAAAATTGTATTCAATATTTTCAAAATAATTATAAATGTCACAAATCATAAATATTATGCTATTATATAAAAAAAATCCATGCCATATAAATTTAAAATGCATAAATTTAACTAGTCACATTATAAAAAATAATTGTTTTCCATGCATATGTTTTCAAACAATAATGATACAATAAAACTGGAATGCTAATAAATAAAAAAATATGTCAGCCTACCAAAAAATATATATATGTCATCATAATTACTATCTACCACAGCTTTAAAGAACCAACTAAAACATTTCCCACTACTCTATAAAGCAGATGAATTAGGTGTTAGCCAATTATGAGTACCAACAAATATTTTAACATTGCCGTAGAGATTATTCAATGTCAACTTAACAGATAGCTAGCAAAGGAGGTTAGAAACAAACCTTAAGTTTACGCTCAAAGCTCAAAATACATCTACCTATACATAAACATACATAGATATATATATTTTCTCATATGTTTGGATAATGAATTTACTTCAAAGAGTTTAAAAAACCAATTTTTGAGGAGTGAGTAGCACTCGTTTTCTCCTGAGCACATTCCTCAACTCCAAAAATCAATTCAAAATCTATTTTCAATAGAAAGGAATGGGTAGGGGTTTAAAGTTTCATTAGAGTTTTAAAATGATGTTGGAAGTTTAATGAAAGAGAAAGCAAATAAAAAAAGGAAAGAAAATGAGAAGAAGAAATGGAGAAGCACCACCAGGGATAGCCTAGTGGTGTTGGATGTGTTTAGGGGGTGTTAGGTTTTCTGTTCCATTCCATGTACTATCCAAAAAAAAAAAATTGGAGAACGGGTAGAAAGATGTTTTCAATGGAAGAAAGCAATGGAGTTAAGGTTATTAGTTTTAAAAAATCATATAATTATCATTTTGTCCTTTTTTTTAAGGTGCCCTTCAAGAACCGCAAAATGGAAAAAAGAAATACCTTCTTTACGATGGTTGTTTCAACTACTCAATGTTACTCTACTGCAAGATGATATGAGAACTATAACACGTTCATGCGAGAAGCTATATATAATAGCACATCCTCGATGCAGGGAATTGTGAGACCATCTGCATAGGATGATCAAATCTTCACATTGATATTTGAAGGGAAAACGAGATAAATACCGTACTATTCATAAACTTCTCATTCAGATGAAATTTTTTAAACTTTCCCAAGTAGGATAACAAAAAAAGGAGAAAATGTTTTCAAAGTGTAAGAAACTATGTTACAAGCCATTACGATTGGTTAGTGATGAGGGAATTGATTAGTTTATATTAGATTACGTGTTTAATTCTCATATTCATATAAAAAGAAAAAAAAAATTGTGTTACAAAAAATCATGTTAATATATGTCTGCGTCAGTATTATCTTCATGGGGCTAATTGGCACCTATTCAAGTGAGAAGTGATATCCAATAACACTTCTTTGCTGGAAGAACTCTTCTTTTCATTTTACCTTTAATATATTTTAAGGGAAAGATTATATTTACAATTTCTTTTTTCTCACAATCTCTTACAATCATTTTTATAGTTGTTGGATCAAAATCAAATCAATGGTTACAAAATGACGTTAGGTGAGAGCCGTTGATTTGATTTTGATCCAATAACCATAAAAATGATTGACCTAATAAATTTAGGGAAAAGTTTTTTAAATGACATAACTTATGTCATTTCATTCTCACAAAGAGGTGAGACACACACCTTTATTTTTTTTTTTGTCCACTCTCTCTCCCTCTTTATCTATCTCTTTCTTTCACTTAAAATGACACAAATTTATATCCTTTAAAATGTCACACATTTTTTCATAAATTTATATTAGACACTCCCAACGAAAAATTTAAGAGAATATATATATTAAAAAAGTGTTAAATACATGTAAAACAATTAATAAATATTAAACGCCGAAGAAATTAAATGGCATTTTTATGGATAAAATTAAAATTTAAATCCTAAAAAAGAGCTAAGACACCTGAGTCAAATATTAGAAAAAAAAACCAGAAAATAAAAATCCCTTATTTTATGTTATTAAATATGTATCACATTAACTACATGATGTAATTATAAGACATTCTTGTTATAATTGAAAATTTCGCAAGTAATGAATACGACATGGATTACACGTTCTTAGATTAACCCCATTATGCACATAAAATAAAGGGTTCGTTTTTTGTCATGTTACATAACAAGGTTATTTTTCTGCACACACAAATTAAATGTGGGTCTCAAGCTTAAAAAAAAGTCAAATCAAAATCAGGATACAGTACCGTATCCTCAAGATACGTTATCGGATCCTTGTCGCAGGAATAAACAGTTCTTGCAACATGATTCTTATATTTCTCCAAAATAAATTAAGCACAAGTTGAAGTTTCTTAATTATATTAAAAGCAATTCGTGTTTCTTAGAAGCTTACTTTCTTTGACTGACAGCTTTATCCTCGTTCTTCTGTACTTCTAAATGTTTATAAATAAACACAAGCAAACTTGGAACATTACTCTTTATTTTCTTATTGGAAAGTGTGTTGGAAGATTCGTTGTGGAATTCAGATATATCCATATTTGACACAAGCCTGCAGTGTCAAATATTTGTCTTCCTCGGAGCTCGAACCATATATATCTATATATAAGCAAGGGATGCCACTGAGATAAACCCATCTTTGTTCATTCATATATAATTAAGACAGGTAAATATTCACGTTGCATTTTTGTATCCGTTGCTTTTGATGCAATTGTTTGTTATGTTGACTGGGATTGCATAGTTTAGGAAAGAAAGACTATGTGATGACGGATCACTAGAGTTATATGCATCCTCTATTTCAGTTCTTTGATTTAAAGTTTGCACAACAAAAAAAGCAAAAAAAGTTAATATAAGGCGTTTTTGCAGTTCTCCTCTTTCAAAATAGACTTGGAACAAGAACAACTCTAGATCAAAATAAACTCTTCAAAATTGAGGGGTTTAGAAAATATTATTAATGGATTTGTGCTCTACTTGTGCAGGAAGCTTCAAGAAAAGAGAATCAGAAACTACAACTGTGTTGCCAAAAGGTTTCACTACGATGAACAGTTCAAGCAGGTTGAAGGATAACAAACCCGAACATGTGATCCTTGATAGAAACCATTCATGCCCTGAAGATATGAAGATCATGGATTCGGAGTCTGTTGCAAGCACAAGTGAACAAGTGCAGCATAAGCCAGTGCCTGTGTTTTCTATGCCTGAAGCAGTGGTTTTCTCTTCCCCAAGACCAGTTAGTGAGCTTGATGCTGCAGCAACTAAACTTCAGAAAGTCTACAAGAGTTACCGTACTCGAAGAAACCTTGCAGATTGTGCTGTTGTGGCGGAGGAGCTCTGGTTAGTCTCAATGGAAAAGCAATATTTTTGAGTTGGATATTTCATTGCTTAAACTTCAGTTATATATGTTATCAATTGATGAGTTTTAAATGATGTAGGTGGAGTTCTGTTTCACACTTTGATGTTCAGAAACAAGAAACCGCTGATGTATATTTCATTGAAATTCAACTTTCTCTAAATGAAATTAACTTCACTCATTTTCTTAAATATGTTATTTTATTTGGGGTATTGTTTTTTATAACTGTTTCTCATATAGGATGGAAAAGGTTTGTCCAAGGATGACAATGCACAAAAATTAGTCCCGCATTATTGGCTCGAAGCTGTAAGTTATCCATTATTCCATTAACTCTATTCAACCTTGAAATCATAGTACCCTTTAGTTTATGTTCTAATATAATATTAACAATGTCCATTCCTCCTTGTTTTCTGCAAAGATTGACCCACGTCATCGACATGGAAGCAATTTGCGCTTGTATTATGATATTTGGTTTGAAAGCCAAAGCATCCAACCATTTTTCTACTGGTAAACTCTTATTCTAATATATCTAATAGTCTATATCTTCGCCTTGACTGTAATTATCATGAAGCTGGTAAAACTACAGAAGCTAAGGATCTTGGTGGTTAACTATGTGCTTTGTAATATGCAGGTTGGATGTTGGAGATGGTAAAGAAATAAATCATGTCAAATGCTCAAGGGCTACCCTACAACGCCAGTGCATTAAGTATCTTGGACCAGTAAGTTATCACTGGACAATCCCGCATTTGTAATCACAATAAACATATAATGCTGTCTCATATTGGATCTAATGTTTATCCTTGTTGTTACCTTTGCAGAAAGAAAGGCAAGAATATGAAGTAATTGTTGAAAATGGGAAACTGGTCTACAGACACGATGGAAGACTTGTGCATACTGATGGAAACTCCAAATGGATGTTTGTTCTTAGCACCTCAAGGGCCTTGTATGTGGGGCAGAAGCAGAAGGGTACATTTATGTACTCTAGCTTTCTAGCTGGGGGTGCAACAAGGGCTGCTGGCAGATTAGTGGCTCAGCAGGGTGTACTTGAGGTAAAAACTTAAAATATTGCTTTTTATCAAATCATACAGATAATATTTATCATACTCAAAATCATGTTTGCAAAAGCAATTTTGCTTACTCAAAAGTGTTATATAAACATTCCAGGCTATTTGGCCATACAGCTCCCACTATCACCAAACAGAAGAGAACTTCAAAGAATTTATAAGCTTTCTTGAGGAGCACAATGTAGACCTCTCTAATGTCAAGGTAAAAAATTTATCCAACTGATGTTACTGGAAAAAACAAATGGTTTTGGAATAAATTAGCTGATAGTTGTTTTGCTTGTTTTCTTGCAGAGATGTGCTATACATGATGATGCTCCTTCATTTGTTGGGACCAATTCATTTACTGACATTAATGAATCACAAGAAGAATGCAACAGTTCATGAAGAGGTTGAGGCGAAGAAGAATGCAACTTAGATTGGTAATTTTGTTTGATTAGACAAGATTGACTTCAAATAACAATCAAGCAAGTTAAGTAAGTACAATTTTCTCCTTTCTGTTCCTATATGCTCAAAGCTTCAAAGCTGTACTGTTGTTGCATTTTCCAGTTCATTGTAATTTGCCTTTCCATGTAATCGCGTCTCTGTTCACTGTCATTAGGCTTGTAATTGTCTCTTGATTTCCATGATATAAAGTTCTGGTTTACTAGACCAAAAACTCTCTGTTTTCTGTTGTTGGTTTGTATTTGGGTTGAAAGTCTCTATCATGATGCTTTAAGGCTTAGGAAGCTGTACCTTGCACCTTAAGAAGGCAGTATAGTATGCGCAGCTTTAATGTACTATTGGAAGCTCAATGTAATGTTTAATTGGCAAAATACAAATCAGTGATAAGTGCCACATCAGAGAAAACTCAGCTTATGTCACTAATGATAGGGACACCAATACGGCAGCAAAAATTGGTTTTTTAAAGGTATTTTACTCGAGTAACACTAAATACCTTACTCAAGTAAATGTTAAAAAAAAAAAACAGACCATAATCGCTTTAGACTACAGTAGCTACAGTGCACTAGGAGATATCAGATCAAATCAGATGATATATAGAATTGAATCTAATAAATGTACTAATATGAATTTGTCCAATGAGAATGTTTACTCGGGTAAAGGCTCCAATTTACTCATGTAGTAATATTGCAATGGGAAAAGCTGTTACAATCTTGCTGTTTCGTAAATCTAATATATGCAATACAGTTAATTCAAGAAGAGATATGGATGTATAATGCCATAGAGTGAACGACAAAATAGTTACTATATGATCAGACCTCACATGCACTTATTTTGACCAAGTTTCAGTGAATTAACAATATCAGAATTAAGTATCAGAAAAACAAATTTGTTTTCAAATTTCCAGACGCCAGAATTTAAACACTAATTAATTATAACAGTAAGTATATCTGGATAACTCTGATGAACAACACTACAAATATCAGAAGTTTAATTTGCCTTATACACTGCTTTAACCAGATGCTGTATTAAATCAAAAGATATTAATCAACACAGAATAAGCAGAAGTTTTAGCTAGGTCAGAGACTATTCAAGTAAGAAATTGAGTCAACACACTTGTTCAGCAAGACTACAAGGACAGACCCAAAAGGAGCTTATAAGACAAGCAGGCTGTATTATCAGATTTTAGTTCCACTTGTGCTGAAGTTCAACCAAAGTTGCTGAACAATTTCTGATATTCTCATTCTAACTAGGTCAGTGGCCGAAGTGGAAAATTAATATATATATATATATATATATATATATATGGGGCAGGATATTCTTACACCGGTGTAAGAGTTAGAAGTCTTACACTCAATCTTGACCATTGAACCACTTATATCCAATGGCTCACATTACTAAAAAATTTGAACCGTTAGATATAAATGAAATCAACGGATAAGATTGAGAGTGTAACTTACACTGGTGTAAAATGATCTTGACCCTATATATATATATATATATATATATATATATATATATATATATATATGTTAGATCTAAGTGCTTTAAGAAACCAAAATTCCTATATTTATTAGCCTAAGGTATTTAGTCAATCTCTGTAGAGATTGCCTTGTATCTAATTGCTTGACAGTAAGACCATAGGAAAGCTCACAAACTTTGGCTTGGCTTTATCAACTGGATATTCATCTAGTCAGAGCAATTTTGTAAACACAACCTTGTAAATATTGTATTGCATGGAATATATAATGGATGTGTACTTCTTGTACTACTTTTGTTATGTGGAGTTTGCAACAGATCTACATAACCACTCTACCGTAGACAATTTTTTGTACTGTCTTAGTGATTAGGGAAGTGATTGGCTCAAGTCCGGGACCATACTTCATGTCTTCCAAGTACTTGTAATATTAGTCAGGAACATTACATAGGATATTGTCACAAAATGTGGTCTTCCCTTGCCTCCAATTCCATTATTTAATAGATATTAGCTAGATGTCGTGGTCTATATATCAGATTCCAACAACTGGTAGTTTATCAATATGAAGAACCTATCTGATATGTTTTGAGCCTGTCTGGAACAAAAGAAGAAGGCCGTTACATCGGCTATGCAATTATTGGCTTATTGGCTTTAAGGTCTCTTTATGAAGGGGCAACTAAGTTGGCATCAATTTTCAGATCTCAAGTAATATCTGATTAACACCATGAAGACAATACAATGTGACATCTCACTTACACTTGTCTCTCACTAGACCCATCAAATAGCCCACCAACCATTCAATTTAGTAGAGTTGTTTTCACAGACTCGTATATCTATCTTTATATACTCATCATGGCATTCTCAAGGACTACAAGTCACTCATAAAATTAAGAATTCAAATATTTCTTTCTTACACAAGCCCTTGCATTCATTGTATTGTTCTTGGTGTTTTGCAAGGCTGTGGAAGCCCCAAAAGGCTATCTATCTTGCAATCTATGTAGGAGAGAAAATGAAGCGGTTTGTGATTCCGATTTCATACTTGAATCAACCTTCATTTCAAGAATTACTAAGCCAAGCAGAAGAAGAATTCGAATATGATCATCCAATGGGTGGTCTCACAATTCCTTGCAGGGAATATGCTTTCCTAAACCTCACTTCTCCCTTGAATGGACTATAAATCATAATTTAGTTGAGGCAAATTGTACAGCTGACACCTTTTCTTTTTTCTTTTGCTTTTTATCCTTTTGTAAGTGGAAATACCACTGAGTGAGATAGTTATGAACAGAGGCATTAGACATTTGGTCAAATTTAATTGAATTTATATACACTTTTTTCTGCCCGTAAGTTAACTTTGTATAGAACCACTGTTTTTCATATTCTCTACAAAGTTTTTTTTTTTTCCTTTGTTGTTCTGCGGCTACTGTTTTAGCAAAATTGCGTGATAATCAAGTCAAAGGAAAACAAAAATCAGATTGATCTCACTGAGTGAAGGCTACTAGTTCTTTATGTTGAGACATGCTCGATACATCTCACATTTCCACATTCTCACACATGTATCTCTTGGGTCACACTATGGATTAATCATAATAAATATTTGCACATTAGCAGTCTGCTAGGAGATTAAATTCAATGGTTGCATACTATAATGTTTCAAGTCAAAATTAATGCCACTCTTTGTCAGAACAACTTGCACAACAAGTCCTTGTGAAGAGCACGGAAAGTTCTTCTGATTGTAAGCCTCCATCAGGATTCAGGATCCCAATTTATCTAACTGAACAAGTACAATGCAACATATAAGTTAATTTGTGACTGAGACATTGTTGTGAGGTGGGAAAATCAGTTTTATTTAAGTTTTACACCCTGGAAGAAAATATGACCACATCCCACACTTCTCAGATTAACCTTTTTGTCTTGCTCCTGCTACTGAATCTTAAACCAATCAAGTCTTTCTTCCCAAATCCTATTTTCTGTCAATGAAAATGAAAATCTTTATTGGGGTAGCAAATTGCCGGTTAGTAATGATTTGGCACCGTGAGCCATGAGAGAACAAGGCACAAAGACAGAGCTAAATATCAATTGATGCAAGCTGAAGATTATAATTTCTACAAGTTGTAAGATATTTAAATTCCTTGTTTATTTCATAATACACAAAATGCTTTACGTCATCTCTGGAAGAACTCAATGCTCCCGAACAGGACTACAGATAACTGATGTTGCATGTATGGTGAAACATTTTTATTTTTTAAGGATTAGATGCAATTCTCACAAGTAATTCTATTCATCGTGGGATTTTGTGAGACCATCACTTGGATGATAAACTTTTTTGCCATTAGATATGTAAAGAAACCACTTCAACTCAAAAGCTTAAGCTGTTAAATGAAGGCCTCTTTAATGGTTTTATATATCTATAATAAATCCCCTCGCGCAAGAGTCCGCTATTGGTTCGTTATGTGATATTCTTGGTAAGGGTTCAATTCTCACCTCTCTTAATTAAGTCTGATGGAGTTTCTTAGCATAAGTAGGTGGACTGTATATTATGTACTTTTCAAGCCCAGTAGACTCTCATGTGAGAGAATGTGTTAGAGATATATAAAACAATTAATATAGTATCACCCAACAGCTTAAGCTTTTTGGTTGAATTGGTTCTTTACATGGTATCAGAGCCTTAATGTCACGAGTTCGATCCTCACACCCCTTTTGATTTAATTAATACTTAAGTAAGTCTTGTGGAGTTTTTTGCGGGTCTAGGATTAATGCTTTAAACCATAGTTATTAAAACCGGACCAACCCGGCCGGATCGACCCAGGAACCGGTAAACCGGTCATATTACCGGTCCGGTTGAAGCAACGGACCGGCCATGCATCAGAACCGGTGCGACCCGGTCGATTTTCATGAAAACCGGTGACCCAGCTCGGTCCTAAAAAAAATCCAAATTTCTTTTTTCAAAAAAAATAAAATCATAATGGACGTATTTGAATTTTTTTTGCTAATTGACTTACATAAGTTATGTACTTACAACACTAATATTATCTCAATTGTGCATTATGCAGAAAATTTTGATTTGATTTATAGTTAGAGATGTCATTTTCTGAATTTAAAGCCCCATATCACGATATTTTTATTTGATCCTTTATTGGATAATAATATGTGATTTATTATTTTTATATTAAAATATTTGAAATATTTATTATTATTTTTAGATATTTGAGTATATTTATAATTTTTTAATATAAATTATAAAATTAAATATAATTACCGGGTCATGCGGTTGAACCAGTGACTCACTGACTCAGTACATTGACCGAGTCAATGACCGAACCGGTTTTAATAACATTGCTTTAAACCCTTCCCAAAAATGATACTGGAGAGAATCGAACACATGCTCTCATCTCCACCTCCTCATATTCCATGCACAGCTACCACCATTTGCTACAATATAAATTCTTCAAGCACGATATTATATGCCTAACGCATTGTCTCCATTTCTGTAGGCTTCAACAGCTAAGTGGCTTGTAATTAATTTCGTACTTGCCTGGTTGATAGCTAGAAAAGTCAAAGGAGGATGCGTGATGAGGAAAGAAGATATAGTAAGAAAGATGTAGGCTCAATTTAGAAAAGTCAAATGAGTTACGTAAACGTTTAATTTGGGTCGTTGACCCTGTTGTGTTGTTTCACCAAAAAAAAAAGGTTATTTGCATTAACCGATAGTCACTGCTGTGCATACAGGGATATCAATAAGAATTTCAGAGAGTCAAGATATTGAGGTCAACATTTTGGGATCCATGTTGTAAAAAATTTGTAATTAAGAGCATATGCAAGATGGTATTTGTGCTTGTGCAGCATGTGTATCACTCAGATGACATTTTTTATAACATTTGGAGGAAAGCAAAATGGAAAAAGAAATGCCTTCTGTACAATGTTTGTCTCAACTATTCAATCTTACTCTTATGCAAGATGATATGAGAACTATACCTCAAGCGAGATGCTATAATATCTAAGAACACATCTTCCTTGCAGGGAATTGTGAGATGATCCGCATTGGACGACCACATCTTCACCTTGATATTTGAAAATGAGATAAATACGTTAATGTTCCTATACTTCTCATTCAGATGAACATTTTTACACTTCCCCAAGTAGGATAACAAAAAAGGGAGAATATATTTTCTGTTGGAAATTGAAAACAAAAAAGAGAAAGGGAAGAGAGATTTGACATAACGATTTATCTTGCTCAATATAGGTTACGTCCAGATTGTCTGTATTATATTTGTCTCATCAACATTCTTTACAAGTAACTCAGTTTACAAGATAATATAAATAGGATTTAGAAAATCCTAATCCAGATTGGCATTCTACTGATCTCAATCCTTATCTGAGCGTGAAGTATAAGTCATACCCAACATTTTCAAAGTAAGAGTCTGTGTTACAAAATTTATGTTAGGGAAAACTTCAATTTCACTATTGTAGTTTTGTGATTTATCATTTGACCCCTTGTGGTTTTAAACTTATCAGTTAGACCCACTGTGCTGGAATATTTTTGTCATTTAACCCTCTATGGTTTCAAATTTTCACTTAGACCCCATGTGGTTACAAAAATTTGCACTTAGACACCTTGTGGTTTAAAAAATAAATATTTTTAAGAATAAATTTTCTCTCTTTTTTATTTTATATCCTCATGTAATGTATTTATGGTTTAAAATATTTCAAGTTATTTATTCAGAAATTAATTTATAAATTATCTTATTCTTTTAAATATATTTGAAATTAAAAAATATATTATTTTAGATAAATTAAATATGTATTATTAAAATAAGATATTTATTTTCTTTAGATAATTTTATAATGATATAGGGTAAAACATAGATAAAATAAAATAATATTTGATTTGAATTGAATTTATTTTCTTGATAAAAATAAGTGAATTTTTTAAAAATTCATTTTTATTTTTTAAACCCTAAATGCATTAGGTGAGGATATAAAATAAAAAAGAGAGAACATCTATTTTAAATATTTATTTTTAAATTTTTTATTTTCGTAACTACAATTTGTCTAAGTGAAAATTTTTCTAATCACAAGGTATCTAAGTGAAAGTTTGAAGCCACAAGGGGTTTAATGATAAATTATTTAAGCACAATGACTCTAAATGATAAGTTTAAAACCACAGAGAGTCAAATGATAAATCATAAAACCACAACGGGTGAAAATGAAGTTTTTCCATGTTAATACATGATCTGTGTCAGTCTTATCCTCATGGTGTTAATTAGCACCTATTCATTCGATAAGTAATATCTAAGAACACATCTTCGCAGGCATACAGAGAAGATATCACGTGGTGTTGTCTTAGAGGCCTCTATCAAACAATGGCCAATATATATAGAGCATCCACTTGCAACCAAATGAGAGATGTCTAAGTGAAGCCTGATATTTAATTTGTTCATACATTGATTGGTACTCCACATTTTGGTAAACATGCTTTAGACATGTTTTCTTCATTTAGATAACGCAACTTGATGAGATGTTCAGCTGGTAAGTAATATATATCTGCCTGACAAATTATATGGCAATGGATAGCTATAGATCATAGAGTATTGTTAGGAGGAAACAGGAGAACCATTATCAACTATAACATGGTGACCCTTGAGAAAGTCCCTAAGACAAGAACATGTGACCTCTTATATGCCCTTGTCTCTCAGTAGGTCCCATATGACTCTCATCTCATAGCCCTCTACCACCAATCATTCAAGAAGCCAACAGTTTTTTACATATCCCTTTATCTATATATATTCATTGCCGCAAGCATTTAGAACCAACACAAGTCATTCACATACTGAAAGTTGCATCTTATTTACAAGTCTTTGTTTTAGACCATTCTCTTGTCAAGTCTCCAAACATATAAAACAATGGGTTTTCGTTTACCTGGTATGAGAAGGGCATCATTTAATGCAAACCAAACATCTATAAAAGTTGTGGACGTGCCAAAGGGCTCTCTTGGAGTCTATGTTGGAGAGGAAATGAAGCGGTTTGTGATCCCCGTTTCATACTTGAACCAATCTTCTTTCCAAGACTTGTTAAGCCAAGCTGAGGAAGAGTTTGGATATGACCATCCCATGGGTGGCCTCACAATTCCTTGCAGCGAACATGTGTTCTTAGATATCACTTCTCGCATGAATAGATGCTAATTAACACCATGAAGATAAGACTGACGCAGATAGCTGCTATTAACATAATTTTTGTAACACAATTCCTTACCTTGAAAATATTTTCTCCTTTTTTTATTTTTTATTTTTGTTATCCTACTTGGGGAAATGTAAAAATGTTCATCTGAATGAGAAGTTTATGAAACTTATCTTATTTCTCTTATTTTCCCTTCAAATATCAATGTGAAAATTAAAATCGCGTAATAAGCTGAATGTTCAGTTTATAATCTATAGATGATAAAATAAAGATTATTTTCTTTCATAAAATTGAATTTTCCCTCCATGTTGTAGAAAAAGTGAAAGATGCAATTAACTATTATGATTTAATGATTATGAATGAATTATATGGGCCGTTACAAAAAATTATGAATAAAAGAACCTAATGAGCTTAGATAAAAAAAAAACTATTTAGATAAAAAAAAATTATGTTAATTTAAATCATAATATGTAATCATTCTTAATGTATCAAATTTAAATAAATTGTTAACTATACATTAATAACCAAATTCAATATCAAAATAGCTAATTTTATTTTTTAAATAAATTAAATAATTGCATTTCCTGAGTGAAGAATAAGCATTAGTATTATCTTATTTCTTTGATATTGTAGGACTGGTCACATTATTTACCATGGCCTACTTTGCTTTTGTAAATCTTGTGAAACACCACCGATTAATTTAGAATAATTCCTTATCCGTTGATTCACACATTTGGTGATAAATAAATAATTACATTTGTATATATTTATTCACAGCACTCCCACTTGTTGTAATGGCATGATGGGCTTCATTGGGTTGCTGGTGCCTGGTAGCAGCTCCATACAACTGATGCCCGGGGTCATGTAAGAGGGGTCCAATTTCCATATGATAACCGGTTCTTCACTTGGACATGTTCCTTGGTTCTGGCTACGGCCCCAACAAATGATATGCTAATTGCTAATCCCGGGTTTTTCACAAATTGAATGTTTACCTAAACTTGAACCATTTGAAGATATTGCCCCTTTTTTAGGAAATTGATCAAATGCTGTTAAGAAATAATTAAATTGATTCACTAATTTAAATAGTTTATGAATATATTTTAAAAAAAATGATATTATTTTAAGTTCCTATTATATCAAGATATGTCCAATTTAAGTTTTCGTTATATCAAAGGATACGTAAGATCGAGACTTTTATAGGAATTCTTTCCGGGAGAATTTTCACATAAAATCAAAATTAGAATTTTCACAATTTAATACCTATGCAAATAATTATATTTGGTTTGATTTATTTTATTGATTTTACTTTTAATTGTATTTTTATTCTTTTTAGGATAAAATAAATAATTTTAATTTATTAATAATTTGTACAGTTAAGGAGTGGAATGAAATTAAGTTTTCACTTTTTTTCGTACTCGACCCAACTCAAACCCGGGCAAAAAAATTAAAATAATGTAATTAATTAAAATAATTATGCATTTAATGTTGTTTTGTTAAAAATTACATATCTCTTGCACAATGAGACGCCCTCTTTGGGCGTCACAGGTGACGCCCCAGTGAGGCGTCTCTCTCCTAGAGAAGACGCCTCACTGGGGCGTCACATGTGACGCTCAAAGAGGGCGTCTCATGTGCAACCTATATATACCCCACTTTCCTTTTTTCACTCCTTACTCATTTACCTCTCTAACCTCTCTCCAACCTCTCTCTAACCGCGGTTCGTAGCGAAGCTCTGCCAACGTAGGTAAGGTCATAATACCTCATATGTATACATTTAAATTACAGTGCTAGTTAGTAATACATGTTAGGATTGATTGTATATTAGAGACTTGGAACATTAGGATAGTCACTTAGAAATTTTGTGTCATGCTATGAATGTTGTAATGATATAGTAATATTATTATTACGTAGTTATTATTATTACTGATTTTAATTATGTATTAGGGTTTAGCATATTAATTAGTGATTTATAAATAGTGTTAGAGACTTTGTAAATTTCGTATGTATGATGTTATTAATGCGGGAGTGCATAACTTTGTATTAGGGTTTAGCATATTAATTAGTGATTTATAAATAGTGTTAGAGACTTTGTAAATAACTTTGTATTTATTACGTAGTTATTATTATTACTGATTTTTAATTATGTATTAGGGTTTAGCATATTAATTAGTGATTTATAAATAGTGTTAGAGACTTTGTAAATTTCGTATGTATGATGTTATTAATGCGGGAGTGCATAACTTTGTAGTTAGTTGAGGATAATGGCTGAGTCATCATCTTCTTCGGGATCTGATTCGGATGTAGAGCCCACCGATCCCAGCATGTGGATCATACCTGGACCGTACAGGTGGGAGGTCCTTCGTCAGAGGACGCAGAAAGGTCATATTTCACAGCGAGTGTGGAATACTGAGCATGTAAGAAAGATTAAGACTAGGCGTGGGAAGCCACAAGGGGGCCCACCTACCGGTGCTATTCCACAGGTTGTGGAAGAGTACCTCAGACAGGCGGGTTTCATACATGTTGCCAGGATGCAACATATCCAGGTATGTTATTTATGTCGTTTTGTATTTATGTAATTATTTAATAAAATTAGTTAACACGTGATAACTGCGTAATTTATCACAGATAGATACATTTTTAATTAGTGCTCTGGTCGAGAGGTGGAGACCAGAGACACATACCTTTCACATGACCCAAGGTGAGATGACGATCACCTTACAAGATGTGGCAGGCATCCTGGGCTTGCCGACCGACGGTACTGTCGTCATCGGATCGACCTCTGAGGATTGGCACGCTGCTTGTGCTGCTGTTTTTGGACATGTTCCAGAGGCCGGTGAGTTCCATCATTCTGGCGACCTCTGCATCTCATTCTTGGATCGACATTATACCCGGTGGACTGATCATGAAGGGAATCATGCTGCCGAGATCTACTTCACAAAAGCCCACATTGCCCGGATGTTGGGGACTTGGTTGCTGGCGGACAAGTCTGGAGGTAGCAATTTTGGTTGCCGGCTTGTCCCGTTGCTAGGTGGAGGATTTGAGGACATTGGCCGATTCAGCTGGGGATCTGCAGTTTTGACACACTTGTTCAGGAATTTGTGTGAAGTGACAGATGCCCGTCGAAGCGACATGGGTGGTTGCCATATTCTCCTTCAAATTTGGGCATGGATACGATTCCCACCCATTGCTCCACCCCTTCCTCCTCATCCAGAGTCGGGCACACATTATGGATGCCGGTATGATTTATTTACTTCATTTGATTTCGATAATGTATGGTTAATAATGTATGTACTAACTGTATACTTCTTGACTTTGGACGATTATGTATGGTTGATAATGTTTTTGATTGACAGGTTTAATGTTGTACAAAAGTTTAAACCTCATGAGGTCACCCATTATCGGGCAACATTGGACACACTCTGTAGAGATGAGGTTTGGTGTTAGATACTTACGGTGTTGTTATTTGTCTATGGGTTTATTTTTTTTGTAACTCTATATATTGTTTCACATTTTGTTTGTAGGTGGTGTGGCAGCCATATATAGAATATGAGTGGCCTGACGTGACTCCAGAGCAGCAGTATCTGTGGCTTGCTCCCACACCTATTATCTACTTCCACACAGTTGAGGCATGTCAATCGGATAGGTGCATGCGACAGTTCGGTCTTAATCAACCCATCCCGGAAAAATCTAGAAAATTGAGAGGAATATATGATCATACTCTACGGGGGAAGGTTGAAGAGAACTGGAGACGTAAGCTCAGGGCTCACATTGATCGATGGAATACTAGGATTCAGCATATTGTACTGCCACCTCCATTATATGGTTTGATGTCACCTAATCATGCGTACATGGAGTGGTACAGAGAGAAGGGAAAGCGCTACATATCTCGGAGGGCAGCAAAGATAGGGCGCATGGTGAGTTTTGTACTTATTTTACATTTGTTTCACATTTCTAACATTTTTTTCGTAATATGCAGATTGACGGTCTTGAAATGCTGTATCATGCAACAACGGCGGAGGAGTTTCCTCGATTTGGACTACAGTATATCCACGAGGAGATAGGCCGGATTATTGGGATGTTTCGTGAGAGTTCACGAGTTGATGAGCCTGGACCTGAGGCACCCCCCGTGCAGACTCAGCCTGATCCTCAGTTGATCGTGGATGTTCCTCGTTATAGACGGGAGGGACGCGGATTAGGACGTACACGTGAGAGAGTTGCTGCTGAGCCTGTCCCGATTATGGCACCTAAACCAGTGGTCGAGACTAAGGGATGGTTTAGACCTCCAGCATTTGGTCCTACTTACGGTTCACAGCCGATTTATCATCACGGATCGTAGTATGAGGCAGGTCCTAGGGCAGGAGCCAGTTTTCCAGGCTAGTCCGATGGCTATGGCAGGAGCGGATCCGGCATCCTCACAGCCTGATTTCCAGCCCTATTCACAGGGACTTGATGTCGATTACCCCTTTTGGTCTGCAGAGGACACGATGGAGTTGTATCGCTCTGTAGGCCTTGTTGCAGAGAGCCATGACAGTGGGAGACTCTAGCCACGGATTCTCACAGTCAGGGACACACCCCTTTTGATGTGTCGGGCAGCAGTGCAGGACCATCAGATGATTTCATTCGTGCGGCGATGGATGACTTCCACACTCCACCTCCACAGGAGCATCAGGGTGACCCAGTCTGGGACAGACGTATACTGCCAGATAGGGATGCACGACATAGGCCATGGCCACCGTGGTCCTAGTTTCATTGTCATTTTGAGTATTCACTATGTTGTGGACTGTTTCATATTGTTATTATTTTGTTCTTTTGTATATGTCATATTAGTGTAGCATGTTGTTATTTTGTGGACACTACATTATTATATTATTTGGACTATTCACTATGCGTTATTATTTATGTTTTGGTTATCGTTCTTTGCGCATTTATATCACGGTAACTAACAGCATCAGCTAATTAATAATACAAGATTAAAAACATACATAAACGGAAAGTAAAAAGTCCAACATAACGGACATTACAATTCATGCAATAACATAACCAACAACAAAATAATTACATAATATGCAAATCA